ATTGTAGAGATGAAGTCTCGCCTGCCCAGGCGGGTCTCAAACCCGCGGGCTCAGGCAATTCACTCACCTCAGCCTCCCAAAGCGCGGGATTACAGGTTGAGCCACCGAGCCCAGCAACTATTAGTTTTTCATGTTGAATAAATCTCTAGGAAAAGATAGGTGTACTAAAATTTGACTCTCTTAGACAATTTATAAGCTCATTCAATGCTCTCAAACACTGGGAAGTTTTATTTCTCCCTAAATTTTGAAAATCACAAACAACATCAAATTATTTCCATAAAACATTTGAAACTTAAGCTAGAAAATTAATAAAGTAATTGGGGTAGTTATCACAATAAGACTAAGATTATTTCTGCTGCCAAATTTGGTGACCCTAGTTTTGTAAGTAACCATCAGCTTTCAAGGATGCAGCCAAAGTTAAAAGATTCACCATTCTTGAGGGATGGGAAGGTGCAGGAAGGAGATCCATTAATATTTAATTTAGCTCCTAGAAAGTTCTTGTTAAACATGGAGTTTTCCCTCTTTTCTATAAAAGACCCCAATGTTAATGAAAAAAGTTGTCATGCAAAATGCATAAAAAGTTATTAGATTAGAGAATATTAATATTCTTTTAAAAAACAATTGTTATGATTCTTTTACCTGCTAAAACAAGAACATATATTAAAACAAATATATCAAATGGTGAATAAAAAACCAACATATTAGGAACTGGTAGTATAATGAAACTAGTCTAAAACCAAGACAGAGAAGGAGACATTTAAGAGACAATAAGACATGACCTTTTAAAATGAAGGGCATCTTGGACCAGAGTCAAGCAAGATAACCAAACGCCTGATATACTTTTTATAAAATTGACTGATAAATGACAATACTCCTCACTTTACAAACGAGATGCCATAAAGGCAATAAAAATGGGCAATAGCCAGTTCTATAACTTATCCTAGACAAGTTAAGTTCCAAAGCAGCTAATTAGTGAAGTTATAGCACAAAGTAAATGAGTTGAAAATAGCTGTAACTAATTTTATGCACAGAAAGTTTAAAAAAAAATCTTTTGTGCTGAGAAGCATATTTTAAAAATAACAACTTGTTTAGTATGGATTTTTTCCATTTGAGAATATCAAGTATGCAAATGACTTCCAATTCAAGTTAATGCTGATTCTAAATTGTAAGAGACTACTTTGGGGGAAAATACACAAAACTATATTTGCAAATTATCTTCTTCCTCGATTCCCCACAAATTTAAAAAGCACTAGAAATGCTAAACTGCCAGGCATGGTGGCTCATGCCTGTAATCCCAGGAATTTGGGAGGTGGTGGCGAGAGGATTATCTGAGCCCATGGGTTCGACACCAGGCCTGGGCAACATGGTGAGACTTCATCTCTACAATAAATCAAAAATTTAGCTGGGCAGGCTGGTACACGCCTGCAGTTCCAGCTACTTGGAAGACTGAAGCAGAGGGATCACTTGAGCCCAGCAAGTCAAGGTGGTCATGAGCGTGCCACTGCCCTCCAGCCTGGGGCGATAGAATGAGACTCTGACTCAAAAAAAAAAAAAAAAAGAAAGAAAGAAAGAAAGAAAAGACAGGTTAAGTTTTTAGTTCAAAGATCAGTCACCTGATTAGTTTAAAAATCTCTGCTTTTCTACTTATCTGGTATATCTGAGCTACTTAGTTCTTTAAATTTTGGTATTCAAACTAATGCTGAAGATATCCTATTTCTTCTTTAATCCACTGTAGACGTGTACACCCCTACATTTGCTTCCATTTATTTGAAACTCTAAGAGGAAGCTTTGTAACCAAACAAACAAAATGCCTCCAGAAACACAGCATTTGGCACAGTGTAAGTAATTTAGAATTATTTTGCTAAAGCAGAAGTTGAATTTTTATTTTTCTTTTAAACTGGTTTTTAAAAGTATGGAAAACTAAATTATCTGAGAATGTGTTCAACTGGAAAATATATTCAGGTGGACATGGCAAACCTACAAACTATGGTTTTATGTCCCATAACACATGGCAATAAGCCCCCTTAACATAAATGATGAATTGGAGAGCACAGATAAGACTAGAAAGGGCTTCAACCATGTAAGAATTTAAATGACCAAAATCTGAGATAAAGAATATGTGAGGGTATATAAGTATGTATGTAAATGTATGTCTATATAGTTTTTGTTTTTTAGTTCTTTGTATACTACAGTCAGTTATTTTTTTTCCTCCCTTCCCTTCTACAATATATTCAGGTATTTTTTTTTTTTTTGAGTTGGAGTCTCACTCTGTCGCCCAGACTGGAATGCAGTGGCCGCTCCCAGCCACCACAGCCTCGACCTGCTGGGCTCCGGCGATCCTTCCGCCTCAGGCTTCCAAGTAGCTGGAATTACAGGCATGCGCTACCATGCCCGGCTGATTTTTTTTTTTTTTTTTTTTATTGTAGAGATGAGGTCTCGCTGCCTAGGCGGGTCTCGAACCCGCGGGCTCAGACAATCCACTCACCTCAGCCACCCAAAGGCGCGGGATTACAGGTTGAGCCACCGAGCCCGGCTTATTCAGGTATTTATTCCAAAATAAAATCTACCTCTCTGAGTTGGCTGCCTCCTTAATTTTATGTATTTCATATTCAGGGATTATAGATAAGAGATAATATAGAATATACTAAGAAGCAAAAAGTTTTTGATTAACAAGCAAACTGAGGAAAAAAGCATATATTAGTTAGTAGTCCAACTTGTGGCAGCCCACCATGCCAGCAAACCCAAAGCAGTAAGTATTTAAAGCTGTTTGGGGCAAGGGCATACAGAAGTAATCCCTGAAGTTTTCAGAGCAAAGTGGGAAAAGGCCACATATTGGAGAGGATGGTTGTAGAGAGGGCTGTCAAAGCTACGGAATATTCCTCAAGCCTATCGAAAATCTGACATTAACACTTTAATCTGAATCTTTATGAACTTCAAACCATTCTCTCCTTTTATTAAATACACACACATGTGTTGGGATATGTCCTGTGGCATAACAGGCAAAGGAAACATTAGTGATCCTGGAAAGGGCTCTCCATTCCAAGTGAGTATGCTGAAGTCTATGCAAAGGGCAGTGGAAAGAAACTGTTAAGAGAGAGGGATGCAGAGAAAAACACTGAGGAGTCGGAGTCAAGATAGTAAAGAAAAGTTCCCAAGAAAGCAAACCTCATAAGGCATCCACACAGATCTCTCTGTCTTCCACTTCTACTACCAGAAAGCTGCCTCTTATAGAGATTTAAAATCTGTAACTTATAACTCAGTTACCATAACTAGGTTAAAATATTAACTGTAGCCATTTTATCTTGGTTTTAGGATATTATTCTATCAGATCACTTGTATATGGGTTATAAATCAAAAGTACCTTCTGGATAACTGACTTAAATCAAAGAGCTTGATCTTTATAGTTTATACATAGACAACACAAGATGTTCTTTATTTGTAAGCCTACATCTTTTTGCTTTAAGAGAAATGCTGTTCTTACTGGATATTGAGTCACTAGAATTTACCAAACAAAATCTTTTAAGAAAATATTGATAGCATATAGATCAACGCTGGCAACCATCAAATACATACAGCTTTCAATCTTTTCACAGCATCTTCACAGATGTGCATTCCTCTTGATTCATCAACTTCTACATGGCCAAGATACTGTAGAAAGAGGGAAGAAGTTAGAGTTATTGCTGTTTACTAAATAGCTAATATATGTTAAGTATAAGGTGGCAGAAATTGAATACAGGTTGAATATTCCACATTCAAAAGAATTTGAAATCCGAAACACGTCTACTTCCAAGCATTTCAGATAAGAGATATTCGACCTGTATTAAAATTCCTACACTCAAGAAACAGCCATTGCTGGGCTCGGTGGCTCAGCCTGTAATCCCGCGCCTTTGGGAGGCTGAGGTGAGTGGACTGCCTGAGCCTGTGGGTTCGAGACCCGCCTGGGCAGCGATGAGACCTCATCTCTACAATAAAACAAAAATCAGCCGGGCGTGGTAGCGCACGCCTGTAATTCCGGCTACTCGGAAGGTTGAGGCGGAAGGATCCCCGGAGACCAGGAGGTCGAGGCTGCGGTGACCAGCAGCGGCCACTGCACTCCAGTCTGGGCGACAGAGTGAGACTCCAACACACAAAAAAAAGAAACAGTCATTGAAGAAGAGTTAAGATAATGCTACTTTACTTTGTGTCTCATATGAATGACATTAGAAAAATTATTTCAGTGAGTTGTTATAAGTGAGTGAAAAAGTACATGATAGGCAATAAATGTTACCTGAATCTATTGAATTCAAAGCACAATAGCCTGTGCGAGGCACCATTACTACATCTCTACACATAATAATCTTAAGACAAAGTACATATACAAACCATGAAAAAGGTACAGAAGTGACACACGCTCCTTTTATGGGGAGCACGTAAGAGCAAGGCAGATAAAAACAAATGTTAAGAAGGTACTACATCCAAGTTTTATAAGGTGTGGAATCTGAAGAGGCAGAAATTGAAAGGATGAAAGATTATTTTGGGAACAAAGTTATGGGTGTGGAACAGGAAAACTATATATCAGTGTTGGGACTCAGGAAACATTACTCCCAAAATATGGTGCTTTAGCTTGCTGAATACTTTGAAAAAAAAGAACCAAGGTCTCTGATCTTCTCTTGCCCTCCTGCTTCTCACCCCTCTTTTTCTCTGAAGAACAGAAAGGGGCTTTCTCCATACTTCCCTTATGGATAGATCCTCCAAGAAGGAACTCAACTGCTATATACTCCCTCCCCAGAAATCTCACCAACTAGGGAAGATTAACTGTAGCACAGGAGAGGACACTAGTAAACACCACAGATTTGGTCACAGTCTACCACCTATTCTTCTGAGGGCTGCTCCAGACAATTATCATTACTTGAGAGACTTTAGTTTGTTTTGGAAACAGGATCTCACTCTGTCACCCTGGCTAGAGTGCGGTGGCACAATCATCACTCACTGCAGCCTCTACCTCCTGGGCTCAAGCAATCTTCCAGTCTCAGCATCTCAAGTAGCTGGGACTACAGATGTGAGCCACCACACTCAATACATCTTTTTATTTTTTATAGAGATGGGGGTTTCACTATGTTGCCCAAGCTGGTCTTGAACTTCTGGCCTCAAACAATGCTCCTGCTTTGGCCTCCCAGAATGCCTGGATTACAGGTGTGAGCCACCTTGTGTCCACACCCAGCCTCATTACTTGAGAGACTTTTTATCTGAAGGCAAGACAACTTTTGTTCACCTTGCATTTCCTGTCCTCATCCTCCCATAGCCTGCCACAACCTTCCCCCCAAAGCCCCAAACTCATTCCTTTCTGTAGCTCAGGATGCTATAAAAACTTCAATTATCTGGCCTTTCTCGAGTCTTAGGGTATGAGACTCTCATGCATATGCATGTAATAAATTGGTATGCCTTTTTCCTGTTAATGTCCACTGTCAGTTTCTTCTACAGACTCAAATATCAAATGTTCAGAGAGTAAAGAAAACAGTTCTCAACATTAGCAAGTATTCCTGCTCGGCTTGACTATGAGATACATGCAGCTGGGGAATTGGAGTGCTGAACCAGAGTCGCACTTAACCCTAGAGACAACGGAGAGATAATAAAGATTTTTTGCAAAGTAGTAATATGATTCAAGTTGGACCTTCGTATAGGAACTGCCCTGAGTTAGAACAGAAGGGATGGTGGTAGTATCATAAATGACCTGTTTTTAAAGGAAATTTAGAGTCTGGTTCCAGGTAAGATGGAGTAGACACCCTGTCCCTCCCACTGAATCAAGCTGTAAAACCTGGACATAATGCAAAGAACAGCATTTTGTGCTTTCTGAAAAGTAAACAGAAGATGAATCAAAGTTGAACACCAGCATTCAAGGTACTGCTGAACTGGCAAGGAATTTACCTCCCTCTTCCTCATTGGTACCTCTAGCCTAACTTAATATAACCAGAAATCCAAAAGTGGGTGCTATGGTATACAAAGAAGTCTGGGACCAGAGTCACTCTAGGTCTGGTGTGAGGACCAGAAAGGGAAGCTCAGAGAGAGTATGGGAGTCTTCTTCCTTGTATCTACTTCTCTCTTCTTGGTTCTCTACACCCCAGACCCCAGAAGTCCTGTGGTGGTGGTAGAGGTAGTAACAATGAAAAGCTGCAAGGGCTGCACATCTGAAGGAAAGGAATCTACTTTTCCATTTAGTGGAACTGTAATTCCAAGAAGATGGGCTGACCCTCCTTTTGCTTTTTTCCTCTCTCTGAATCTGCCATCATTTGACCCTTGATTACAAATGAAATTGTGGGACTGTGTGGTAGAGCAGAATAATCAGAGCCCCAGGTTTCTGGCCAGAGGACTAGAAAGGGGGAGCTCCAGGGAACAAGCAAGTGAAGAGGAAGGCACAGGAAGGGAGGAGCTAGGAGGGACATCATTAATTTGTATATGAATGTCAATCCCTAGGCCCATACTGGAGCTGCAGAGGTAAGAAAGATTCTGAACCTAAATAGCACATCACAGACTTTGAGAACTGAACTAAAGCACGGACTACCTCCCAGTTCCCTAATTGTCCACTGCATGATATACATATAGGGCAGATCGGAATAACATTGAAAGGCCTTGAAACGGAACTAATGTTGGAACCACCACCCATGGAAGGTGAGCTGAAACTTGCAGCCTAAGACCTACTTGAGTAAACTGCTAAAACAAAAATATAAACATTTGTCACAGGATTTAAAAAAATAAGACCCAGAGTCTCACAATATTCAAATAACTAGGACAAAACCCAAAATTACTTGGCATGGCTGGGCACAGTGGCTCACACCTGTAGTCCCAGCACTTTGGGAGGCTGAGGCAGGTAGACTGCTTGAGCCCAGGAGTTTGAGACCAGCCTGGACAAAAATAGCAAAACCTCATCTCTACAAAACAACTAGCCAGTCAAGGTGGTGTTTGCCTATAGTTCCAGCTATGCAGAATGCTGAGATAGAAGGATCACCTGAGCCCTGGAGGTTGAGGCTACAGTGAGCCATGATCGTCTTGATCATGCCTATGTACTCTAGCCTGGGTGAAAGAGTACAAAAAAAGAAAAAAAAATTACTTGGCATATGATGAATCATGAAAATTTTAACTCACTTGATCAAAACTGCAATCCACAAACAGCAAGATTATACAGATGTCTGAATTACCTGACAAAGACTTTAAAGCAACTATTATCTATTTTAGAGTTGTTGGGTACATAAAAGGATTTGCTATGTAAGTATATTGCGTGAAGGTAAGGTCTGGGCTTCTAGCGAGCCCTCTCCCCCCATTAGTGAACATGGTGCCCAGTGCGTGGTTGTGTACCCCTTATCTCGCTCCCTCCTCCTCCCAGCAGTAGTGCCCAGGGTCTGTTGTTCCTGCTCTTGTGTTCACATGCCCAATGTTTAATGCCCATTTATGAGTGAGAACATGCAGTATTTAGTTTTTTGTTTCTGTGATAGTTCCCTTAGAATGATGTCTCAGCTGCATCTATGTTGCTGCAAAAGACATGACTTTGTTCTTTATGGCTGCATAGAATTCCATCATGCACGTATATCATGTTTTCTTCACTCAGCCCACTTTCAATGGGCATCTGGGTTGTTTCCATGTTTTTGCTATTGTGAATAGTGCTGCAATAAACATACTAGTGCAGTTGTCTTTTTGGTAGAGTGATTTGTGTTCCTTTGGGTATATTCCCAGGAGTGAGATTGCTGGGTCGAATGGTAGCTCAATTTTTAGTTCTATGAGAAGTCACCACACTGCTTTCCACAAAGGTTGAACTAGCTTATATTCCCATCAAAAGTGCAGAAGTGTTCCCTTTCCTCCACAGCCTTGCTAACACCTGTTGTTTTTTGACTTTTTAACAATAGCCCTCCTGAACAGAGGTGGTATCTCATTGCAGTTTCGATTTGCATTTCTTTGATGATTAGTGAAGCTTAGCATGTTTTCATATGTGCACATCTTCCTCTGAGAAGTGTCTGTTCATGTCTCTTGCCCAGTTTTCAATGGGGTTCTTTGTTGTTGTTGTTTTTCTGTCAATTTGTTTGAGTTCTTTTTTTTTTTTGAGTTGGAGTCTCACTCTGTCACCCAGGCTGGAGCGCAGAGGCACACTCATGGTCACCCCAGCGTCACCTTTAGGCTCCGGCAATCCTTCCACCTCAGCCTCCCGAGTAGCTGTAACTACAGGCACACACTACCATGCTCAGCTAATTTTGTGTTTATTGTAGAGATGAGGTCTCACTAAGTTGCCCGGACTGGTCTTGAACCCAACGGCTCAGGCAGTCCACTCACCTTGGTCTCCCAAAGTGCTGGGATTACAGGCTGAGCTACTGAGTCCGGCTGTTTGAGTTATTTATAGATCCTGGATGCTAGACCTTTGTTGGATGCATAGCTTGCAAATATTTTTTCCCATTCTGTGAGTTGTCTCTTTACTCTCTTGATGGTTTCTTTTGCTGAGCAAAAGTTTATTCACTTGATAAGGTTCCCCCTGTCAATTTTAGATTTTGCTGCATTTGCTTTTGAGGACTTGGTCATGAATTCATTGCCTAAGCTGAAGTCTAGGAGGGTGTTCCCTACATTTTCTTCTAAGATTCACATAGTTTGAGGGTTCACATTTAAGTCCTTGATCCGTTTTGAGTTAATTT